CTTTGACATGCTCACGGTTGCAGCTACGTGACCAATTGTGTGGGCAACGGCGACCTGAAAAGGCGGCAATTATGTGAGTTGAATCAGACCACAAGACGATGAGCGTGTGCTTCAAACGATGGCGATCAGCAAACGGCACGAAAGAAAAGGGGACCGAAAACGGGAGACTAATGGTAGGATGAAATACTAACAGGGAACAATGTCTTCCAGAAGTCCAGATCTGTGTCGGGGAATTCCACCAGACGCGTCGCCCAGGACAGCAACATGATCGTGACTCCAGCAGCAAGAGCGAGAGTAGAGCACAGCCATGGATAGGGAAAGGCGTTGAGCACTTTCTTGTTGTAGATGTTGAAAACAACGTTCAGCGTCCACCACAGTGCAAAATATCCACCAATCTTAACCTTGAACGCCGAGTCCTCAGCCTCAGTAGTCGAAACTGCCTTGGGCTCCGGAGAGGAACCAGCGTCGGCACCTGCCTGGGCTTGTGCGACAATTTTCAGCCGAGAGGCAGACTCGGTCTTGACGACCTCGGGCCTTGAGAAAGCTGTGAAAGACACACCAAAAGATTTAGACGATGGAAGAACCCTGGCACGCTTGACCGACAGAGAGCTAGCCAAATTCACTCGTCGAATCGCGGAGTGGGACTGAGCGCGAACGCCGAGTGGAACGGCGCCACACTCGGCCATCTGGGAAACAATCACAGCTTGTGCCATGGTGGAGGACTGGGATACAGAGAAGAGAGAAATTAGAGGAATGAAGCTAGAAGGAGAGAGAAACAAATATGTTTACTTCCTCGACTGGATCAGGCTGACGCATTGCCGCGCCAAAAGAGCACATGTGTGAGCCGGAACCGCCACGTAGCCGGAACTCATGGAAATCGAAAGAGGCGTGACGATCTGACCTGGCCAGGTTCCCACGGTCCGATCAGCCACATTGAAAGATCTTCATCCAGTCACTTGCACATCGACCAGTACCGTGCGGACAAACGCCTCATTGTCAGCAGCAGTTCGTGCGGGCACTTCGAAAAGATCCACCGGAGATCAGTCAACCAGTTGCGGGAAGCGAATCCGCCGAACGGGCGAAGTGGTTTTTCGCGCAGCTGGGTGCGGGGGGGAAACATTGTTGTAGGATATGCGGTATATTAGGAAGTCCAGATCTGTCCACGTGGATTTCCTTGAGTACAACATAAGCAGGATTTGGAGACTATTCTAACCACCACCCTTGAGTTTTAGTAAAATGTTTCCATTAATACCGGTAGCATCACTACACATTTTGAACCACTTCATAATGTGTTGGTACACTTTACCACTTCACGGTGTGATTTTCTGCTATTGTGCCCAATCCCATGCCATGATCTCCGAAACGTGGCCCAACAACGTTAAGAACCTTGAGATGTAGCACTCCCATTCAGTGTCTCAGGTAAGTCTTCCTTTTTATGGTCATCGAAAACAATGGTCACCTGCAAGTACAAAACCACATGTTGGTATGCATTGAGCAATGACCACCACAGAAATATCTCATACCCACAACAATCAAACACACCCACACCGCTTACCCCCCCTCCCCCCCCCCCCCCACACACACACATACACACACACACACACACAACCCATGCACACATTCACACAAAGAGTTTCAGGGATATTGGTACGATCTGTTCAGTTACAAGCAGCATGTGCACCATGTGTGCACATTGAAGGAGCACGAAGACAGGTGCAACAGATACTCCTGTACGAACGATTGGACACAAACGCCATCCACACATCACTATGGACCCAAACTCCCCATCCATACACCCATTTGCTCCACAAATGAAACCTATGGCTACCTGCACCAACCCACCTGTGAGCCATCTCTGGCAATGGTTGTTCTGCTGTCGGAATCGTGATGGTGGCGCTCTGTCAACAAAGTGTACGCTCCTTTCTGCTTAGCCTTCGCCTCCACGTACTTCTCATACGCGTACCACCCCACTCCTCCTGAGTTTACTACCAGGCCTATGAGATTGGTGGGACTAACCTGCACTCAAGTAGCAGCACAATGAAAGCAGGTTATTAACTGTCCTATGCAGACAGAGCAGCAGCTGTTCAGTAAAAAACGGAGAGAACTGGGAGAGTGAGAGCAACTGACCAGCACATCCCCGAATGCAAAGAGCCCTCCGAAGCCCTGCAAAATGGACTTGGTGCGGCCTGTGGGGAAGAGGGTGGGGGACACCGAGATGGACGAATGGAACTAGTAGAGCAAGCGAGCGGGAAGAGCTCTGCACAACAACAGACAGCCGTCAGATAGCAGAAATGATTGGTTAGGCTGGGGAAGAGATAACTTGGCGGTGAGGGGGAGAAGGTAATCGGAGGAGGACCCACCAACAATGCTGGTAGTGAGGCTGTCGTTAACGAGCGTGCAGAGGTAGGTGGCGAGATTGAGTATGAAAGCAGAGGTGCAGGACAGCATGAAGCACACAAGGAACACGGCATCGCGTGACTGCAGCACTCGCTGCACGGCAGGCATCTCGCCGTTGGCAGCAACGAGCAGGAAGGCGAAGGGCAGCGACCAGCAGTTGTTGTAAAGCAGCAGCGTGAACGAGTCCAGCTGCAGTTCCTCGCCCAGCTTCCCCACGATCACCACATACGCCGCCGTCGCCAGCGCGGACGACAGCGCCAGCACGTACCCCGCCGGGTCGAACGTGAGGTCGCCTGTGCCCGCCACCACGCCCCCCAGCGCGGTGGTGTAGACGGCGAGCTGGATGCGCGGCGAGGCACGCTTGGCGCGGAGGAGGAAGTCGAGGAGCAGCACAAAGGGCGTGGTGGCGGACTTGAGCACGCCGTACATGGGGATGTTGACTCGGGAGAGGGCCGCCATGTCCAGGAGAAGCTTCAGCAGGAAGGCAAACGACAGCAGCGATACCTGCGGGCATGAAGGGAGGGAGTAGGACAAGACAGAGGGACAGAGGGACGGGGGTGGGGCTGATGCGACTATGGGCGAAGAGGCGACAGACGGAATGGGAGGAGACAAGGAAAGGGCTGGCGTGCTAGTTGCGACCCCAGTTGCTGCTCACACACCACTCATTCCCCCACACACTCACTCATTGCCCCTGACCAGACGTCCTCATTCCCGCACGCACTCACGCGGCGGAGCACGTGCAGGTGGAAGGGCGTGACGCGGATGAGGCGCAGCAGGCGCATGGCGGCGAGCAGCGCGAGCGTGAAGAGCGTCTGAAAGAAGACGAGCGTGTAGGGGAACTTGAAGCGGTACACGTGGAACAGCGCCTTGTTTATGAACACCGACGCCACCGACATCAACCCTGCCGTGCCGTGCCCGACCGCGGGGAGGAGGAGGGGAAACGCGGGAGGGGGGTGGTGGGAGTTTTGGGGGAAAACACATGAGTGGGTGGGTTGCGACTACGATGGTTGCGAGAATGACTGGGATCCCGTGCTCGCGACACGGAATTGCAACCAGGAAGCTACAAGTTGTGAATCACGATCGGCGATGGGAGCACGTGGAGCAGCAACGGAACGAACTGAAATATTGTATCGTACTGCTTGACGAACCCCTGACGTGACCTGATGCCTACCATAGAAAAGCGCAGCGAGGATGCCCGTGTAGTTCATGGCGGCCTTTGATGGTCCCTTCTGGACGATGCCTCGTTACAAGTGTCTCCGATACGGTGTGCACGCCAGCGCGACCACACCAGCGCACACATGCAAGCAGCTCGTCGCGGCCTACTCCTGCCCTTGCCTGTCTCTTGTTCCTGTCCACCCGCACCGCGCCTCCACTCCTCGTGCTCAATTGAAATGCACTTGAGAGTTCGCAACCGTGCGACAATCCCAGAACATGGTGGTTAATTCGTGATTGCGAGCCAAGCGACGACCTAATTTACGCCAACGATCCTACTTCAGCCGCGTGCATTATCCGAATTTGACCACACAGCGTGCGAGCTCACACGGTCTCCATAAATTATTATTGACTAAAATGGTCGCTAGAGCAGAAACTCGAATAGGTCGACCATATCACCATGATGTTGGTTGAACGATGCGGGACGAATTCTCTGGAGCACGGCCACCAACCTTGGGATCTCATCGTGCCATCGTGGGCTTGACATGAACGGCTCGGAGAATCGAGGTTCGAGAAGGTGTGGCTGAGTTGGAGGGCACAGTCGCGGGGGTTGACTCATCAACAGGGCTGACGATTCAAGGGCAAATGCCCTTAATGCCCTGAACATTAAGGGTTGGGTTCAGCCCAGATTCCGAATTTTCAGGGTTGGCTTTGAGGGCAGCCCTTTCCCGCAAAGTGCTGGTTGTGGGCCTAACCCGGATTTCAAGTGCAGATCCGCGGCTAGGCCTTATCTTCCCTTACTAATACCTCCCTCCCTCCCATTCGCTCACCAGTCCCCCCACCTCCTCCCAGCCACTCCCCTTTCTCCTTCCCCATCCCCATCAAATCCATCGACATGTTTCGTACCTCAGACTATTGCCTAGCTGGATCTTAGTAGTTTGCCTAGGATACGGACCCGAAGCGATGTAGGTTTTCCTTAGCAAAAGTGCAGAAAAGTTGGTAGCCCTGATTTCAAGTGCCAGGTTGGCTCTCAGCCCGTAAATTTCAGGGCAACTTTTGGGGCACCTCAGCCTCTCAAGTTCTGGGTCCAAACCAATCGACAGCCCTGCTCATCAATCGCACGGGCTGTCGTCACTATCGAGGGGGGGCCCCTATAACCTTTACCTTTACCTTGACCTTCTGTGGTTTGAGGGGAGTGGTTTGAGTTTTACGGAATATGAGTCTGGCATACACTGTATGACCCATATTCGAAGAAGCGTAAAACGAGTTCCTAAACCCCGAGCCTCTTGCACCTGTTGAAGGGAATTCGAGGGGCATGAATTCGTAAATGAGCGATTGAGCATCGACGACGGACGAGATAGTTGCGAAGCATCAGTGCTAGTAAGTGCAGCCAGCGTCCCACTCGCCCGGAAAGCGCGGCGACGCTATCCATCCAGCCACTCTCGCACGTCATGAACCCTCTCGCAGTGCCTCGCCCCGCCTGTAACGCGCACTGCCCACCTTCTCTTTCCGCCAGCGACAAAAACGGCCCCGCCGCCGCAGGCACACTCGCGCGTCGCGCAAGCTGCTCCTTGGCGCACTCGCGCTCCCACAATGCGCCGCCTCTGTATCCGCAGATCGCGCGCATGGGCGGATTGGAGGGATTACGAGGGGATGGGGAGTGGCGGAGCAGAGCGCTGGCGGTAACACGTGACACGAATGAGCCGCACTTACGCCAACAGTGCGGACCGCGATGCAGCGTGGTGAGATAAAGCGTGGTGAGATGCAGCGTGGTGAGATAAAGCGTGGTGAGATAAAGCGTGGTGAGATGCAGCGTGGTGAGATGCAGCGTGGTGAGCTGCAGCGTGGTGAGACGCAGCGACCCTCGCATCCACTCGCCCTCGGAGCCCGGCTTATCTTTCCTTTCATCTCTGCGCCTTCCCCGCCTTAACCCCCCTGGTTTCTGCGCAGTCGTCCCCCGCGCAGCGCCCCTACGTGGCGGTGCTGATAGTCCCCACGGGCGTGGGCGCGGAGATCGGCGGGTTCGCGGGGGACGCGCTACCGGTGGCGCGCGCGTTCAGCAGCGTGGCGGAGTGTCTGATCGCGCACCCGAACGTGCTCAACGGCGCCATGCTCTACTGGCCGCTGCCGCGCGCGCTCTACGTGGAGGGCCACGCGCTGGACCGCTTCGCGCGCGGCGAGTGGGGGCTGCAGCCCGTGCACCGCAACCGCGTGGGGCTCGTGTTCGACCAGGCCATCGAAGAAGAGCTCCTCCAGCGCCACCTGCAGGTGCCGCCGCCATTCCGCCGCCATTCCGCCGCCATTCCGCCGCCATTCCGTCGCCCTTCCGCTGGGATGGGATGGGATGACTTTTGAGGCGCCTCAAAAGACCTCCTCTCGCGCCATCTGCAGGTGCCGCCACCATTCCGCCGCCATGCCGCCGCCACGCCGCCGCCATGGCGCTGGGATGGGATGGGATGGCGCTGCATGCAGTGGCTGCTGCGACATTGCTGCTGTGTGGCTCTCTGCTTTCTTCGTCAACTGCCTCGCTGCTTCCCGCTCCGCTGTGCCCCTCCCCCCAGCTGCTCCTGCCTGTGTGTGCCCTCACCATGCTCCCATCGCCCATGCTCCTCGCCTCACATGTCCTTCGCCCACACCCCCTTCGCTCCACACCCCCTTCGCTCCACACCCCCTTCGCTCCACACCCCCTTCGCTCCACACCCCCTTCGCTCCACACCCCCTTCGCTCCACACCCCCTTCGCTCCACACCCCCTTCGCTCCACCCCCCCTTCGCTCCACACCCCCTTCGCTCCACACCCCCTTCGCTCCACACCCCCTTCGCTCCACACCCCCTTCGCTCCACACCCCCTTCGCTCCACACCCCCTTCGCTCCACACCCCCTTCGCTCCACACCCCCTTCGCTCCACACCCCCTTCGCTCCACACCCCCTTCGCTCCACACCCCCTTCGCTCCACACCCCCTTCGCTCCACACCCCCTTCGCTCCACACCCCCTTCGCTCCACACCCCCTTCGCTCCACACCCCCTTCGCTCCACACCCCCTTCGCTCCACACCCCCTTCGCTCCACACCCCCTTCGCTCCACACCCTCCCCCCCTTCGCTCCACACCCCCCTTCGCTCCACACCCCCTTCGCTCCACACCCCTTCGCTCCACACCCCCCTTCGCTCCACACCCCCTTCGCTCCACACCCCCTTCGCTCCACACCCCCTTCGCTCCACACCCCCTTCGCTCCACACCCCCTTCGCTCCACACCCCCTTCGCTCCACACCCCCTTCGCTCCACACCCCCTTCGCTCCACACCCCCTTCGCTCCACACCCCCTTCGCTCCACACCCCCTTCGCTCCACACCCCCTTCGCTCCACACCCCCTTCGCTCCACACCCCCTTCGCTCCACACCCCCTTCGCTCCACACCCCCTTCGCTCCACACCCCCTTCGCTCCACACCCCCTTCGCTCCACACCCCTTCGCTCCACACCCCCTTCGCTCCACACCCCCTTCGCTCCACACCCCCTTCGCTCCACACCCCCCTTCGCTCCACACCCCCTTCGCTCCACACCCCCTTCGCTCCACACCCCCTTCGCTCCACACCCCCTTCGCTCCACCACCCCCTTCGCTCCACACCCCCTTCGCTCCACACCCCCTTCGCTCCACACCCCCTTCGCTCCACACCCCCTTCGCTCCACAACCCCTTCGCTCCACACCCCCTTCGCTCCACACCCCCTTCGCTCCACACCCCCTTCGCTCCACACCCCCATTCGCTCCACACCCCCTTCGCTCCACCACCCCCTTCGCTCCACACCCCCTTCGCTCCACCCCCTTCGCTCCACACCCCCTTCGCTCCACACCCCCTTCGCTCCACACCCCCTTCGCTCCACACCCCCTTCGCTCCACCACCCCTCCACCCCCCTTCGCTCCACACCCCCTTCGCTCCACACCCCCTTCGCTCCACACCCCCTTCGCTCCACACCCCCTTCGCTCCACACCCCCTTCGCTCCACACCCCCTTCGCTCCACACCCCCTTCGCTCCACACCCCCTTCGCTCCACACCCCCTTCGCTCCACACCCCCTTCGCTCCACACCCCCTTCGCTCCACACCCCCTTCGCTCCACACCCCCTTCGCTCCACACCCCCTTCGCTCCACACCCCCTTCGCTCCACACCCCCTTCGCTCCACACCCCCTTCGCTCCACACCCCCTTCGCTCCACACCCCCTTCGCTCCACACCCCCTTCGCTCCACACCCCCTTCGCTCCACACCCCCTTCGCTTCGCTCCACACCCCCTTCGCTCCACACCCCCTTCGCTCCACACCCCCTTCGCTCCACACCCCCTTCGCTCCACACCCCCTTCGCTCCACACCCCCTTCGCTCCACACCCCCTTCGCTCCACACCCCCTTCGCTCCACACCCCCTTCGCTCCACACCCCCTTCGCTCCACACCCCCTTCGCTCCACACCCCCTTCGCTCCACACCCCCCTTCGCTCCACACCCCCTTCGCTCCACACCCCCTTCGCTCCACACCCCCTTCGCTCCACACCCCCTTCGCTCCACACCCCCTTCGCTCCACACCCCCTTCGCTCCACACCCCCTTCGCTCCACACCCCCTTCGCTCCACACCCCCTTCGCTCCACACCCCCTTCGCTCCACACCCCCTTCGCTCCACACCCCCTTCGCTCCACACCCCCTTCGCTCCACACCCCCTTCGCTCCACACCCCCTTCGCTCCACACCCCCTTCGCTCCACACCCCCTTCGCTCCACACCCCCTTCGCTCCACACCCCCTTCGCTCCACACCCCCTTCGCTCCACACCCCCTTCGCTCCACACCCCTTCGCTCCACACCCCCTTCGCTCCACACCCCCTTCGCTCCACACCCCCTTCGCCTCCACACCCCCTTCGCTCCACACCCCTTCGCTCCACACCCCCTTCGCTCCACACCCCCTTCGCTCCACACCCCCTTCGCTCCACACCCCCTTCGCTCCACACCCCCTTCGCTCCACACACCCCGTTCGCTCCACACCCCCTTCGCTCCACACACCCCTTTCGCTCCACACCCCCTTCGCTCCACACACGCCCCTTCGCTCCACACCCCCTTCGCTCCACACCCCCTTCGCTCAACTACACACCCCTTCGCTCCACACCCCCTTCGCTCCACACCCCCTTCGCTCCACACCCCCTTCGCTTCCACACCCCCTTCGCTCCACACCCCCCTTCGCTCCACACCCCTTCGCTCCACACCCCCTTCGCTCCACACCCCCTTCGCTCCGACACGCCCCTTCGCTCCACACCCCCTTCGCTCCACACCCCCTTCGCTCCACACCCCCTTCGCTCCACACCCCCTTCGCTCCACACCCCCTTCGCTCCACACCCCCTTCGCTCCACACCCCCTTCGCTCCACACCCCCTTCGCTCCACACCCCCTTCGCTCCACACCCCCTTCGCTCCACACCCCCTTCGCTCCACACCCCCTTCGCTCCACACCCCCTTCGCTCCACACCCCCTTCGCTCCACACCCCCTTCGCTCCACACACCCCCTTCGCTCCACACCCCCTTCGCTCCACACCCCCTTCGCTCCACACCCCCTTCGCCCCACACCCCTTCGCCCCACACCCCCTTCGCCCCACACCCCCTTTCGCCCCACACCCCCTTCGCCCCACACCCCCTTCGCCCCACACCCCCTTCCCCCCCCCCTTCCTTCGCCCCACCCACACCCCCTTCGCCCCACACCCCCTTCGCCCCACACCCCCTTCGCCCCCACACCCCCTTCGCCCCACACCCCCTTCGCCCCACACCCCCTTCGCCCCACACCCCCTTCGCCCCACACCCCCCTTCGCCCCACACCCCCTTTCGCCCCACACCCCCTTCGCCCCACACCCCCTTCGCCCACACCCCCTTCGCCCCACACCCCCTTCGCCCCTGCAGGTGGCGGACGCAGCGAGGGCGACGCTGGGGATTGACATAGTGGGATACACTGTCACCGACCGCCCCCTCAAGGTGTGCTGTCACCCACCGCCCCCACCCGCTGGGTGACTCAAAAGTCACCCAGTCGACTCAAAAGTCACCCAGTCGACTCAAAAGTCACCCAGTCGACTCAAAAGTCACCCAGTCGACTCAAAAGTCACCCAGTCGACTCAAAAGTCACCCAGTCGACTCAAAAGTCACCCAGTCGACTCAAAAGTCACCCAGTCGACTCAAAAGTCACCCAGTCGACTCAAAAGTCACCCAGTCGACTCAAAAGTCACCCAGTCGACTCAAAAGTCACCTAGTCGACTCAAAAGTCACCAAGCCCCTGTGTCCCTGGCTGTGTGTGGGGGGCGGGCAGCAGGTGCACAAATGGGTGGACGGCGCCACAGGAGCAGCCACGGGGCGCATCGACGAGGCGGACTCGCTGCTGCGCGCCGTGCAAACCCTGCTGGACTCGCCCCTCGCCGCACACCCGCCCTCCCACGCACACGCCCTCTCACCCACATCACCACCTGCTACAGGTTCCCGTCGGGTGGACGCAGTGGGCGTGGTGGCACGCTTCCCTGACGATGCAGAGGAGGTGTTGCAGCAGTACCGCGAGGGGAGTGGGGTGGATGTGCTAGCGGGAGTGGAGGCCGTCATCTCCCACCTCGTTGTCCACCGCTTTCAACTCCCTGCTGCTCACGCCCCCGCCCTCGCCCCCCTGCCCCTCCTCCCCTCCATCGCCCCGCGCTCCGCCGCTGAAGAGGTGAGTGCTGACCCATGCTGCTCACTGCCCACTGCAGGTCACTTTCTTGCGGCCCCACCTGATGCTGCTTCGTCCTCCCCTCCCCCCGCCCCTCACGCGCCCCTCAGATCGGCCACACGTTCCTGCCATGTGTGCTGGCTGGCCTCTCGCGCGCCCCCCGCCTCGTCTCCCGCCACGCCCCTCCCGCCACCGCAGCCGAGCGCACAGGGGCAGACGGTCGGCAGGAGGGGCGGGAGGGGGCGGCGAATGTGAGCAGCATTCCCACCATCATTGGGGGCGCATGGGACTATAGCAGAGATGCTGGCAGCAGCAGCAGCGGCACGAACTTGAGCATGGGCAGCATGGGGGGAGGCATGAGCATGAGCATGGGCAGCATGAGCGGGGTGGTGTGGGCGGAGGACGTGGACTGTGTGGTGCTGCCTGTGGATGCCTTCGGGGGCCCTGCCGCCCAGGCCCTCGCTCACCGACCAGGCGGCCCGGTCAGTGCTGCACTCTGCCATGCTGTGCTGCACTCTGCCATGCTGTGCTGCTGTCACTGCTCTGGGCTCACAGCAGCATGCTTCACTGCACGCACTTGCTCTGCTGCATCTACCTGAATGCTCATCCTTGTACCTGCATTTCCTGCGCCCCTCTGTGCCCTCCCTGCACGTGCCTTTGGGCGTCCCGTGGTGTGTGGTGTGTGCTTTGTTGTGTGTGCTGTGTGGTGTGTGCTGTGTGGTGTGTGCTGTGTGGTGCATGGTGCATGGCAGCCGCTGTTCATAGCGGTGGAGGAGAACACGACCGTCATGGACGACCCACCCTCCAAGTTTGGCATCCCTGCTGTGAGTTGCCGTGCCACGTGCCGTCACCTTCCATGCTCACGCTTCACCGCATGCGGGCATTGGGGCACATCGGCAATCCTCACTCCATCTGCTGCTCTTCATCCTCTCTCTCTCTCTCTCTCTCTCTCTCTCTCTCTCTCTCTCTCTCTCTCTCTCTCTCTCTCTCTCTCTCTCTCTCTCCATACTCTCTCTCCCTCTCTCTCTCTCTCTCTCTCTCTCTCTCTCTCTCTCTCTCTCTCTCTCTCTCTCTCTCTCTCTCTCTCACTCTCCCTCTCTGCTCTTGCTTCCCGGGGAGTGCGTGCTACTCTCCCCCCTGGCCATGTGCATGGCAGGTGGTGGTGGGCAACTACTGGGAGGCGCTAGGGGTGATGGCGGCGCACAAGGCGGGGGTGAGCCCGTGGTCGCTGCGCCGCCACGCCATCTCCCACATCCCACGCATCCACCCCGCCCGCTCTTGACACCTGCCACGGCCCTCACACCCACCAGTGCCTGGTTGCCCCTAGGTTGCATTGTTCGTGTGTTCGAATGAGCTCCGATAGTGGGTGTTTCCATAGGCATAAACGTGCTTCTTCCTGGTAGTAGTCCCATCAAGGCTATCCAAAAATTGCCCCAGCCTGGGTGCCCTTGTACAGACTACCTACCACACACTGATATGTAAGCCATTGTTTGGGAATTCAAACTTCATTTGGTGAAGGGAGATTCCAGATTACACTTCCAGAACAGCACCAGCATCCTACCTACCATAGTGTTGGAATCGGTCGGTGCCAAAATGAGGCTGCGAAATAAGATGTCGCATTCTAACTTGATCGCATTCTAAGTTAAACTCAGATTTAGTTGTTTCCACATGTAATACCAGTTTTCACCATTAGACGTGTGGACCACGATACACCCATTACCGATGGATGGTTCAACCAAACACCATTAAAGACTGTCTTCTAACCTTACCCTATGTGTGATAGCGCATGGGCGGATTTGAGTGGAAACTCTGTTTGAGTTCCATATAACGACCTTATAATCAGGGCCTCACACAACAGATGTATGACCTGTATGGTTTTCAGACGTACCATGTCTGATTGATCAGACATTTTCCAGCAGAAACAAGAAATTTCTTAGAAGATATGGAACATTAGGAGGAAAGAATCTGGCGGAGGTTTGGTGTACTTACACGCTTGGGGAACTGTACAACCTTCTGAAGTGTGGGCTTTGGCAGCATACGCATTTGAATGGAAAATATCGTCGAGCGTGATTGGAGGGTGAGGACTGACCTCAGCAGCATTCTGGGTCCAGGTCGAGGGAACCTTTCGGCTGGGAGCATGCATTTGTTATCTGTGATGATTTCATTCATCAACATTTGTCGTTGTCCCAGCTCCTGGACACAAGCGTGAATCTCAAACCGCGCATCAAAATTGCCAGAGCTGACGTGTACAGCATCAGCTAAAATTCTAGCCAACCAGCACGAAGATCGCGTCCTTGCTCAGCGCCCATAAGCTGTACAGTCTACTCTCCATTTCAAGCTCAACTTCACTGTGGTGGTTGAACCAAAGACACGCTTGATCGCTTGCGGTTGACAAGCCAGTTGGCAGCTGCACTGTTGGCCGGCTGCGGGACAGAGCTGGCTTGTGCAAGCGAGCAGCAAACCGGTCTGGTTTGAAATTCTCATGGACTGTGCAACGGACAAGTCACTCCCCCCAAGCGCAGCGTTGACATCGAGGTACCCCTGGGCCGTCACGGGCAGGTAATCCAAATGATGGAAATTCAAACATAATGTCGTGTGAATGCTTTTCCAAACCAGTCCCAGTTATCCGAGCATTAATTTCAACAAGTGTCCAGGCAGGGCTCGAAGCAAGCAATTGCTCAAGTGACACGGCAGGTTGTTCGTCATTCCTGACGGTCAAGGCCGTTTCTTGATGCGGCCGATCGGATTGGGGCAACTTGAAGTGAACTTTCTGCATCGGTCTGGCTGGGAACACTTGCAGTGCTTTCGGCGCTGGCGTGCTCTGCCTGTGAACTGTAGTTCTCTGAACTCCCTTGAGCAGGCAAATTCAATTGAACACATGCGGGATAGGTATGACCACATTTGGCACAAGTGCTGCCTGTACTGTACTGAATGCTGGAAACGTTTAGTTTTCGAGGGAGAAAAAGGTGGGGTGTGCATGAATATCAACATAGCCTCCATTGGACAACTTGCCCTTTCATTTACCCTGCGAGTTGAGGTAAGAATTCACGGGCAGCCAGCACTGTAAGATTCCCCAGGGCCGTACGGGAAGCAGCTGGTTCCACGACCACCGGCGAGCGGCACACACGACAGCTGCTCGCAGCCGGGCAGAGCAAACCACTTGTGGGTGGGTCTCCCCGCACGAAAGCGTGGTGGAGGGAGTCCGCAAAGCCGTTCCGTCTGTTCACTTTGGCTCCACTCCGCTCCACACTTGCCATCTTGCATAACCATTCCTGTGCACCGCCAGCACCAAACAGAGTACAATCTGTGACCAAAATCCAATTCTGCTCAGTTTGCAATGGCAGGAGGAGAGGACAATCTCTCCAGTCTCTGGTCTCGCGTCCTCGCTTCCAGTGGCACTGTGATGCACAAAGTTCAATCGAGCAACCTACGCACCACTCCCACGACCCCTACAGCGCACATAGAGTCGGCTCTCGCTCAGCTACAGTCACAGCTGCATCAATCGTCTCCCCAGTGAGCCTCGCGTCGCTCCCTACGTTATATTAAAATGCTCAGCGTTTCCAACTGTTCAGGCTGAACCAACTTCCCTGATAGTTTCTTCTATTATGGTTACACTCTGCGCACGTCTCCCTTTTGAATGCACGTTTAATAATTCCCTTCCTCGTCGTCTCTGTGTCCCGATCTCTCTCCCCCTCCAGCGCACTCGAGCCGCGCCACACGCCAGCACCAACGGTGGCGGGCGGAGAGGCTTTCAACATCGAGTCGGCATCGGCGGGCCCGTGGGCGTCGTCTCGCGCGCCCGCGTCGGGCGGCACGGCGGCGGGGATGAGTGCTGCGCTGGCGGCGAGCGCGATGGACTCGCAGCTGAATCACATGGGCGGCATGGGCATGGCGGCCTATCCATACCTCCTCTACTCGCGCGGCCTCGCTACTTCTGCAGCGGCGGGCGGCAGCGCGGCGGGCGCATTGCCGTTCGGGCTGCTGGGGGAGTCGTCCGCCGCGGCGGGTGGCCTCCCCTCCTCGATTCCCTCCATCGACGCCTTTCTCGCCGGGAATCACGCAGCCGCCGCGGCGGCGGCAGCAGCGGGCGTGTCGGCGTCCTCCGACGTGTCGGCGTCTCGCGATCTGTCAGCATCCGCGCATCCCGCGGCTGATCTCTCCTCCGTCGGAGGGTCCCGCTTCAACTTCGCCGCATTTCCTCCCGCCTCGGGCGCGGACGGCGCACCGCAGGCAGCGTCCGCGGCGCTGCTCAACTTCTCCGGCCTCTTCGGTCAGTCCGCGCCCGCGCCCGCTGCGAGGGGCGCACCCAGCGGCAGCACTGCGCCCAGCGACGCGCGTCACGGGCAGGGGCACCTGGCGGTGCTGCCGTTGGCTGGCTGCGACGGCTCGGCGCGCAGCGGCATGGGCAGTGGCAGTGGCGCAATTGGCGCGAACGACGCGGCGTCCGGGATGCTGTCGTCATGGCTGCAGCAACACTCAGGTACGGGTGAAATCGATTCCCACTACTGCGCGTGCATCATGTTCGCTCCCAAAGAGGCATTGTGCGCGATGCCCACTACGCGATGCATGATCTGCGTTCTCGCGCTTCTCACCCGCCCGTCCCTTGCGCCCTTTCCTTGCGCCCGTCCCATTTCCTTGCGCCCGTCCCATTTCCTTGCGCCCGTCCCTCCGCCAGGCCTGGCGGCGTTGGAGCTCGCGCCAGCCAGCACCATGGAGCAGTCCGCCGCACCGCGCTCCGCGCAACAGCCCGACCAGCACCTGCCGCCGTCCCACTCCGCCTTCCCCTTCGCCCGCACTGCCTCCGCGCCCTCCCCCTCACACGCGCTTCTCCCCCCTTCCGCCCCCCCAAGCGCGTCGGTGCCCGGCGGAATCGACTTTAGCAGCCAGCTCGGCGCCATCATGCGCGCCGGCCTCGCCCCCTCCCACGCGCCCCCGCATTCCGCCTCCGCGCCCCTCTCCTCCCCGTCGCGTGGCGCCTCCAAGCCCCCCGCGGGGGAGTCAGCGGCGGCGGCGCAGCAGAAGCGGGCGGCGGAGGAGCGGGAGATGCAGCTGCTGCCGCGCTCCAAGCGGATGGCGCCGCCGGGAGGGGCAGGCGGACCGTTCCGCGACAGCGAGGGCGGGGGAAAGGCGCACAGAACGGGCTTGGGGGGGATTTCCGCTGTGGCGGGGCCGGGGGCGCTGAATCTTGGGCGCATGGCGGCGGGGTTGGGGGAGGACGTGGCGCGGGCAGCGGCGACCGGACGGCTGCTGGCGTCTGAGGATGGCGTGCTGTGTAAGATCCGCGCTAAGCGAGGCTGCGCTACCCACCCTCGCAGCATTGCAGAACGGGTACGAGCCCTCTTTACACTCCTTTGCCTCTCCTTCCACCAGCCTTCATTGCTGAGCACCGCTTTGCACTGCACTATCCACACTGGAGTTGCTGCTGCCTAGCCTTGACCTCAACCCCCACGCCCCATGCGCACGTCTGTGTGGTGCAGGTGCGGCGGTCGCGCATAGCAGACAACATGAAGCGGCTGGCGGAGCTGGTGCCAAACACGGACAAGCAGGCCAACACGGCGGACATGCTGGACGATGCCATCGACTACATGCGCCACCTGCAGACCCAGCTGCAGGTGAGACCGTCTCCCCACGTGCATGTGCAGCTTGTGAGTCGACTCAAAAGACAAGCAGGCCAACACGGCGGACATGCTGGACGATGCCATCGACTACATGCGCCACCTGCAACAGCAACTGCAGATCAGCCCAGTGCACGCCACAACAGGTGCAGGTCAGTCACCCCACGTGCACCCGCAGCTGCAGGTCAGCCCCGGTGTACGTCCGCCCCGGTGCAGGTCAGCCCCGGTGTACGTCCGCCCCGGTGCAGGTCAGCGAAGCACACCCCCATGCTCACCACCTCATGCTCCATTCTCCCTCTCCCCTCTCCTGCCGTTCCCCGTGCACCCCCCAGGCGGTGGCAGCGCAGCACCCCGACGTGGCGATCGAGCGCTTTGTGAGCCGCGGCGCAGCAGCATGCCACCCCCTCATGCTCCAATATCCCCCTCTCCTCTCCCCTCTCCTCTCCCCTCCCTGGCGTCCCCAGGTGGTGGCAGCACAGCACCCCGACGTGGCAATCGAGCGCTTTGTGAGCCGCTTTGAGCGCCAGCGAGGCGCCGAGGACGGCGAGGCGCGTGACGACCGCAGCGACGGGGGCGAGGACGGGGGCAGCCGGCGGGACGACGGTGGGGGCGAGATGGAGAGGGGCGAGTCGGACGGCAGCAGAGGCAGTGGCAGGGAGGGCGGGTACGGCGAGGGGGAGAGGGGGGACGTGATGGGGGAGAGGGGGGACGTGATGGGGGAGATGGATCAGCTTGCGTTCAGTCTGCAGGCAGACAAGGCGTTGGTGGGCGGTGCCGGCAGCAGTGGTGGCGGCAGCAGACAGGATGAGCACTCTGGGCTGCAGCAGCAGCAGCAGCAGCTGACCAGCCCACGTGGCTTTCACCTGTGACAGCACATGCACACACTCCACCTGCATCCCATGACTTGTGCCCTGCTGCCCTGCGTGGATCATGGAGCACTGCTTTCGCACCACCCTAGTCCCGCTACCCCTGCATAGCATAGCATGCGTACGACGATCCCTGACCTGTACTGCATATAGTAGCCTAGAAGGCCTGTGTAAAGTGGTTCTATATATATGATTACTATAAAATGCAAAACCATCCGAAAACACTCTAACGTGGGGAAGTAACAGGCAGCACGAGAGCACGCGCCTCATGTGGCTGTGCATGCCCCAAATGGGATCCTGAGCCCGTGCCATGAGCTGTAATGTGGCAGAGGGTGTGCTGAGAGCACCGCACGTTACCGTTACCATTACCATGCCGATGGCTCATCCCATGAGGCACACACATGCACCCCCAGGCGCTGCAGCCGACCTCACTCTGTAGGCTGACGCAGGCTGGCATGAGGCGGGGCGGCATAAGCGGGGCGGCAAGATGTGGGCGGCAAGATGTGGGCGGCAAGATGTGGGCGGCAAGATGTGGGCGGCAAGCGGTGGAGTGTGGGGCGGGGCGGCAAGCGGTGGGGTGTGGGGCGGGGCGGCATCAGGAGGTGATGTGCTCGAGGAGAGCAAGAGCGCTGTCGAGCACGTCGGGGGAGGCAAAGTCCTGCAGCAGTAGCTGTGAGCGGGCCGCGAGGGCACGGGGCGAGGGGAACATGGGGGAGAGGGGGTGAGGGAGAGAACGGAGGGGGGGACGAGGGAGGCAGGGAGCCAAAGGGAGGGGGGGGAGTGCGGCAGAGGAAACATGGGCAGTGGCGATGAGGGCAGGGTGGGTGGAGGGATGAGAGCTCCCGACAGCACCCACCGAGCTGTGCGCGCCTGACAGGTCGATCTTGAGCTGGTCGCTGCTGTCCCCCCGCCTCGCCACTTGCTTCCCCACCCCCGCCACCTCCGCTGCCTCCAGCTTGATCTGCCCCACCGCCCCCCCTCCCCACACACATGGCACGGCCCCCCCCAGCCCACACATGGCACGGCCCCCCCCAGCCCACACATGGCACGGCCCACCCCAGCACACACATGGCACGGCCCACCCCGCACAGAGACGAATGTGGGGAGGGGAGTGGGCGATGGCACGGGAGTGGGCAAGGACGGGGAGCAAGAGCAAGGGAATGGGCGAGGGGAAGGGAGAGAGCAAATGCTGAATGCAATGAGACGAGGCAAAGGGAGACGGGGTTGTGGAGCATAAACGGGCTGCTGGATGAGGGGCAGGGCACTCACGGGGATGCGGCGGGCACTGTCGTCAAGGCAGAGGCAGACGTGCTGGTGGGTGATGTAGAGCGTGCCTCTGAAGGCCCGCCTCATGTCCGGTGTGAAGGCGTTGTGCACTGGCCGGTACAGCTGCAGCAGCCGACAGGGGAAGGCTGGTTGGATGGGGGAGACGAGGGGAGTGAGAAGGGGAGTGGGGGTGGGGGTGAGGGGAGTGATGCGCAGTGCGGCGAGAAGGGAGAGGTGCGAGGAGGGCGTACGGAGGTGAGGGTGAGAAGGGGAAAGAAGTCGATGGATGGCGGTGTGGAGTGTGAGTGAGCAAGCACGAGATGATGGCTGTGAAAATGCGGCAGGAGGAATGGAGGGGGGAGGATGGGGGAGGGAGTGTTGAGGAAAGGGGACAACTGGCACAGCAGCACAGCATGCACGGCTCCCATGGAACATTCCACGCACCTTCCAGCAGGGTCTCATGGGTGGGGAGGCCAAAGATGGCCTGCAGGTCGATGGCTCTGGACGGGTGGGGCGACCGTGCACTCCCCTCCGCCCCCTCCCGCGCCTCCTCCTCCGCGCCCCCCGCCCCCCTGCCATCACCACCCCCCCTCGCCTTGTGCGCCTCTGCCTGCGCTGTGCTTCCAGCGCCCCCGGCGGGGGCAGTGGGGGCGTCAGAGGGGTATGCGATGGCGGAGTCAAAGACGCTGAAGAGCGACACAAAGCCCGTGCTGAGACCTGTCACCTGCTCCACGCGCTCCCATGCACCGCGCACCCACATGCACGCACAGGCACACACTCACATGCAGGCACACATGCACACACTCACACACAAACACACAATCACGCACGCACTCGCATGCACGCCAGGGAGACGAGGGCAGGGGCTGAGAGGAGTGGTGGCGTCGTGCAGGTGAGGCCGTGGGCAGGGAAGGGCCCCAAGGAATGCCATCAATGCCGCACACCACTGCCCCCCTCACCCCGACCGCCCCTCCCCCGCTCGCCCCGCACTCGCTCGCCCTTCCCCCGCTCGCCCCTTGCCACTCCCCCGCTCGCCCCTTGCCACTCCCCCGCTCGCTCCCCTCCCCCCCCCCCCTCACTCACCCGCTCGCCCAGGCTGCTCACGACGGCGGCTGCCTCGGCGCCCGCGCTGCTCGCGAGCCCCGCCACGCCCGCCGCCACTCCCGCCGCCACCTGCCCCACAGCCGCCGCGACCTCGCCCTGCGCCGACCCGCCCGCCGCGCCTCTATCTCGCTCTTGCGCCTTCGACGGCGCCACCAGCGCCGCTGCGGATTCCGCCTCTTCCTGCCCGGGGGGCTCCGCGCGTTCCTTGCGCGCAGCGCCATCGCCATCGCTGCATGATGGTCCCGCGGACGAGTCGTCCGCCTTCGCCTCCGCCCCGCCAGCGGCTGCGCCCCCTGCGGCCTCCCTGTCTGCCAGTTCGCCTGCCGTAGTCACATCGGACGGACCCGGTCGCTCCACGAGAATTGGCGAATCTGAGCCGTCCGATTGGGAGTCAGTTGCGTCTGAGTGGGGGGACGCCATGACAGCTGCCACGAGCGGTGCAGGGACCGTCGCTGCCGCGCCCGTGGGGGGGGATTGGAAGGAGTGAGGAGTTTGAGACTCTAGGGGTTCCCGCGTGCCGACTCGAGTGCGCTCGCGCGAAAGATTTGTTGCGGTGATGGAAATTAGGGTGTGGCGCAGGAAAAGCTAGGAAAATGGTGCAATGTACGCGCCATCCGTGAGCGAACCTGTGAGTGGTTCGGCGGAAGTCGATGGAAGGTGACGGAATAGTTCGATTCAATGTAGCTTTTGTGCAAATAGTTAAAAAAAAAAGGTTAGAATATTTCAATTGAGATACTTGGACGGACTGTTGTCCATTGAGCCGAGTAACTGAAGTTGACATTTCATTTCTAATCCTGGTGAGGCCGGTCGCCCTGGGCCGGCAGGGCGGCAGGCAGATGGTCGGGCGGCTGGAAGCCAGGCAGCAGCGATGTGAGGAAACCCACCACAAACACCTGCACCTCCTGTAGCCACCCCCGCCGCCGCTGCTGCTGCTGCTGCTGCTGCTGCTGCACTCCCTGCTGTGGTGGCTGCTGTTGCAAGGCTTGAGCGGCTGCAACACACAAGATGAAACAAAGGATGAGACACACAATTAGAGAGCCAACCCAAGATGGGGACTGGGAATAGCGGAGCATGAAATGCAAGGCGAGCAGCAGCCAGTGAAGAGAGGGGTCGCAGTCAAGCAACGGCAGGCACAAGAGGTGGGGTATGGAAGAGGGGTGGGGTAGGCAAGAGGGGTGGGGTATGGAAGAGGGGTGGGCAGGCAAGAGGGGTGGGGCAGAGAGCACTTAGCCTCGCACCTGCTTGGCCCTGCACACCACCTGCCGCCCCGCCGGCACCTCCCTCCGCCCCTGCCGCCCCTCCCCCACCCCCTGCAGCCCCAGCCCCAGCCTGGGGTGGCACAGCAGCGTTGGGGGCGGCAGCGGCGTGGGGGGGGTGGGGAGGCAGGCCCATGGCGGCCTGAGCGCGGTGGGAGAGCCACCGCAGCAGCGGCGCCAGCACACCCGCTTGGTACCTGCCCATGGGGGAGAGAGTGCAGAGAAGAGGGTGTGAGGAGGATGGGGAAGAGGTGAGGAGCCGACACCACTGGCGCATCCTGGTGTGAGAGAACGAGGAGAGCCAGGGCGGCTCATAGGCAGCTGAAGAGAGCGGCTTACAGGTAGATGAAGAGAGCAGCAGCAATGAGAGCAAAGAAGCGGCGGTAACCCCCGCCCTGGCCGAACACATAGACGAGCAGCGTGAGCTTGAGCAGCAGCATGAGGTCGATGCGGATCGCAAACTGAATGCGCCGCACTCGAGGCGCGCCCTCCACTGCTGCCGCCCCCCCCACCCCCACATGCGCTGCTGCATCCCCCGCCGCCCTGCCTCCTCCTTGCACCCCTGCAAGCCCTCCTGCGCCTCCCCTCTGTGCAGCAGCGGCGGCAGCAGCAGCAGCGGCCATGGCGGCGTGGTGCTCTGCCATCTGCTGCTGCCGCACTGCCTGCATCACGGCTTGCAGCCGCTGCTGCAGCTGCTGCTGCCACTCCTCCTCCACCCCGCCCACTGCACCCGCCTGCCTCACGTGCTGCTGCACTGCCGCCGCTGCTGCGTTGGCTGCCTCTCCCACCGCACCTTGATGGGGCTGCGCTGCCCCTGCCTGAGGCAAAGGCGCCGCTGCCCCTGCTAGTGGTGGTGCAGGCGGTGGTGGAGCGTGGCTCACAGCAGGTGGGTGCTGCTGTTGGGTGTGTGCTGCCGCGACAGTAGGGGGAGCGGGGCTGGAGCGCAAGGCAGAGGCACATGGGCAGGCAGAGGCACATGGGAAGGCAGAGGCACATGGGCAGGCAGAGGCACATGGGAAGGCAGAGGCACATGGGCAGGCAGAGGCACATGGGAAGGCAGAGGCACATGGGCAGGCAGAGGCACATGGGCAGGCAGAGGCACATGGGAAGGCAGAGGCACATGGGCAGGCAGAGCAGGCAGGGGAAGCGGCAGAGGTGGGGTGTGGAGAAGAAATGGCGATATGAATGAAGGCTCAAGATTGAATGGGACAAGCAATTCAGTAGTATTGTAAGCATGAAGGGATAAACGCGCCTCTCGCACTAATGTGATGCCTCTCGCACTGCTATGATGCCTCTCGCACTGCTATGATGCCTCTTGCACTGCTATGATGCCTCTCGCACTGCTATGATGCCTCTTGCACTGCTATGATGCCGCTTACTCTCACAGCACAGCTCACCTGCTGCTGAAGCTGGCGAATGGGTGCGGTGGAGGCATGGCGGGTGGGAAGGCGAAGGGAGGCATGGGAGGCGCGAAGGCGATGGGTGCGAGGGGATCACCAGGCATGGGCACGGGCGGAGGGGAGGGCCAGGGGAAAGGGAAAGCGAAGGGGAAGGGCATGGGTGGCATAGAGAGGGGCAGAAGAGGCGAGGGCAGCAGAGGAGGGTAGAGGGCAGGTGCAGGCATGGGAGAGTCGGGGGGCGGCACGAAGGGCGGCAGCATGAAAGGCGAGTATGGCGGCGGCAGGCCCGGCAGCGGCGGCGCCATGAAGGGCAGCGGCGGCACCCCCGTGGGCGCGCTGTGCTGCAGCGCGCCGAGCAGCTGCGGGGGGGACAGCACGGGGGAGGGGGCGGGCGGGGAGAGGGTACAGGGGCGTGTGTGAACAGAGCAGACGGGAGAGAGGAGAGGCGAGGGTAGAGAACGGGGGGGGAGGGGGAAGACAGAAAGCGGGCGCAAAAGCGAGTGAACGGTCACCTGAAGGATGGCTTGCTGCTGCTCTCCTCCCCCACCAGCACCGGCCTGCGAAACCGCTGGAGTTGTGGGTGCTGTTGTTGCCGATGCTGTTGCTGCTGCTGTGGGTGCTGGCCCTCCTGCCTCTCCCCCGCCCGCTGTAAGCCCCCCATCCGCTGCGCCAGGACCCGCGGCTGCAGCAGCAGCCACAGCGGGCGCCGCAGCTGCAGCGGGCGGCGCTGCAGCGCCCGCCTCCACTGCCTGCGCCTGCCCGGACCCCGGGGCAGCGCCTGCGCGCTGCACTGAGGCGGCGGCGGCGGGCGCAGGAATTGGAGCAGGCGAGGCAGAGAAAGGAGCAGGCGCGGCAGGGAACGGAGCAAGAGCGAGGTTGGAGGGAGGGAGGGTGGCACGCGAGTGGGCGCGCGCAGAGGAGGAGGGCGTGGGGGAGACGGAGCGACTGGAATGAGACGTGGAGGGCGCGGAGGAGGGCGCGGAGGACGGCGCAGAGGACGGTGCGGACGAGGCGCCGGGGGGAGCGGAGGAGACGACGAGGTGCATCACCTGGGGCTCGCTCAGGTTCTTCTGCGCGCGGAGGAGCGCAGGGGGTGAGAGGGGAGGGCAGAGATCGGTGGCAAGTGAAACGAGTCACACTCAAGCACATCCTTTCCCCTGACGCAATTGCACGTGACGGAACAAGCAAATCATGCTGACTGAATCTTTAGGCTCGCGCTCCCGAATAATAAGAATTTCCGGCAGCAACCACAGCTCTTTCGCCCACCATCACTCTAATCGACAACTCTAGGCGCATAACTCCGCCGCATGCCTTAAGATAACAATCAGCGCGCAACCGCGCGTTAAACGACTGAGACGGCCGGAGCACAGCGTGCGAGCGGACCTGTTTAAATACGTCGCGGACGACGAGCGAGTCCTTCACGAGCTGGCCGGCGACGATCAGCTTCTGTCGCGCGGGGTCGGGGTGCCCCGCGTACTCCTCCTGCAGCTGTCGCTTCACGTCGCCCACCGTGCCCGCCGCTCGCACTCGCGTCCTAAAATCGCCCGGCGACGACGCGGAAGGGTTCTTGATGACCACAGTGACCATCGCCTCGCCCTCCACCTCCGGCGACTGCCCCCCCTCCGATGCCATCGCGAAGCCTGCTGCCGCTGGCGGGGAAAAACAAATTAATCACTGATGACTGAGGAATCACGAGAATTTTAGTGCGGAACTGACGCGTGGGGTCGCGGATCGAAGGGCAAGCAAGCAATTGATGAGAGAGAGGAGCGGAAGGGGTGAGCACTGAGCAGCAGCAACAGATGTTTCATTGATTCTGCCGAGTTCCCTTTCCCGCCAACACCACCATCCTACCGTTTCTGGAATTCGGAAAGTCGTTTCGCCAGCAAGGATTTACATGCAGTGGGCGAAGTTTGCGAAATCACAAAGAACGATGCAGGCGAAGTCGTCGAATTTCTAGGGCTTGCACCGCACAGTACCACGGAGTCTCCTAGAAGTTGGAAGGGGCGCAGCTGGCGTGGAATTCACGGCAGTGGCACCACAAATGAACTCACCGCGGCAAAATTCTCAAATGTCTTTCGGAGAATAATGTCAGGCTGCTTCTTCCGTAAAATTATCAGCTTGTACGGATTCTGTATTGCATGTAACAGCATTGTCACCGAACGCAGAAGCACGCCTGAACGAGTGCGAGAGCTAATTGCGTAGGTTTCACTGAGTGCTCGAGATTCCTCAAAGGGAGTGATGTTGCCGCTTCACACGCGCGTGTGACGCGCGGCGAGCACGTGTGCGCGCATGGCGGGCAAGAAGAAGGCGCGCGGCCATCGAGGCGGAGGTGGTCGCGCCGGGGCCGGGCGGCATCGGCGGGACGAGGAGGATGAGGACGAGGAGCTGCGCGCGCAGCAGCTCGACGAGCTCACCGCCATGTACGCGCCGCCCCCTTCCCCGCCATGTACGCCCCGCCTCCCCGCCATGCACGCCCCGCCTCACCGCCATGTACGCCCCGCCTCACCGCCATGTACGCGCCCCCCTCCCCGCCATTTACGCCCTGCCTCCCCGCTGTGAACGGATGCTGAGCTGAGACTATGGCCAAGCGCTGCCGAATTGTATTTCTGTAGCAATGTAGGAAGCCACGTTGCTGCACGCCAGTAGCATCGTTGCTCTCTGCCGTCAGACCTCTGACCTGTGCTCCCTCCAATGCTCCCTGCGCGTGCTCTCGCCCCTCCGCGTTACTCCACGCTGTACGCCTTCCCTTCCTTCACCTCGCCCCCCCCCCCCCCCCCTCCCCCCCTCCCCCTCTCCCCCCTCCCCCCCCCGCCCTGGGCAGCTCCGCCATATTCGCGGACGACTTTGAGCTGCGCTTGGAGCGGCCGCTGGTGGAGTACGCGCTGCTGCTGCGCCCGCACTACTCCTTCGCCGCCCACGCCAACCTCGACGCCGTCTCCCTGCACCTCGTCGTCAGGTGAGCGCGCTCCCCGGCAAGCCCGCTGTGAGGCAAGCCCGCTGTGAGGCAAGCCCGCTGTGAGGCAAGCCCGCTGTGAGGCAACATTGTGAGGCAAGGTGGCAGTGAGGTACTGAGATTCAGAGAGCGTGGTGTGCCGTCGACCACGTGGGCGCACGTGGAGGGGTGCAGCGGGAGAGATGGCCGCGTCCACTCCCTCATACTCATTCCCTCCCCTCCCCCTGCCCGCGCCCCTCGTGCAGGTATGTGGCGGGGTATCCGAGGCGGGCGCTGAAGCTGCGAGTGGAGGCGCGGGAGGGGCTGCAGCAGGAAGACGTGGTGGAGCTGGTGGCACTGCTGCACGACCAGGTGGGTGGGGGGGGGGTCAGGGGGGGAGGAAGGCACAGGGGGCGAGGGAGGCACAGGGGCGAGGGACAACACGCACCTCTTTGCTCTCCGTCACTGCCGCTCCGCGCCCCTTGCGTTTGTCCCTCCTTGCTTCCAAGTCCGCCTCTCCATTGTGGCTGGGCCCATTGCTGTGTGCCTGTGCATTGCCACTCACCCTTGAGTGTTCACTGGACCATGCGTGCTGCACACGGCCTGTGGTCATGCAGGCAGCACGGGCGGCACGGGAGGGGCGGGTGACGGTGTTCAACCTCGCCGAGACAGCTCAGGAGTTCCTCTCTCGCCGCCTCTCCTCACTGTCACCCGCCACTCACCACCCGCTCGCTCCCACGCAGGTGCGCTTCCTTCATCTCCCTTCACCTGCTGCCTTGTCACTCTGTGTGCTGCACTGCATGTGTCTCTGCATTCCTTACCCATTCCATACCCATTCCCCATCGCCGCCACCGCTGACTCGTTGCGTTCCCTGCGTTTTGCAGGCGGGCAGCGATCGTGAGGAGGCAGAAGGCGAGGCGGAGAGCGAGGAGGAGCGGTGGGAGGAGGCGTGGGCGTGGGAGGACAGTGTGGACGCGGGTCTCTTCTCCGACCCCCTCTCTGCCCCCCCCCTCGCTCCCTCTGCCTGGCCCCCTGCCCCGGGTGCTGCGGGCGCAGGCAGGGGCAGGGGCAGAGGCAGGGGCGCAGGGAGGGGCAGAGGCGCGGGGGGCAGTCAGGAGCGGGGGGCTGGGAGGGGCGGGGTGGAGGGTGAAGGGAGAGGGAAAGGAAGAGGAGCGAGTGCAGGAGGAAGAGGGGGACTCGGTGGCAGGACAGGGGGAGAGTGGCGAGGCGGGGAAGCAGGGCGAGGGAGGGGTGGAGGCACTCCTGCGGCTGGTGTCGGGGGTGGTGTGGGGAGGCCGGGTGGCGTGGGTGGTGGGGTGAAGATGGGTGGTGGGGTGAAGATGGGTGGTGGGGTGAAGATGGGTGGTGGGGTGAAGATGCAGAGGCAGCAGATCGAAGAAGCAAGTGAGTCGTCACACGAGGGAGAGGAGGGGGAGGATGACGAGGAAGAGGAGCAAGAGAGTGGAGAGGAGGAGAGCCAAGGCAGCAGCGGCGGTAGAGGGCGACAGTGGGGCATGGGGCTGTGGCAGCATGGGGGCGACAGTGCATCCGATGGATCTGCTTCTGATACCATTGCCCCTTCCACTGCCCCATCCGCGTCCAGCAGCGCGTGGCCGCTGGGGTGTTCTGCCGTGACCCTGTCGGCGTCGGGGGGAGGGGAGGAGGATACTCAGGGGTCGGTGGGCGAGCTGATTCGGCGAGTGAGAGAAGGGCTCCGGAGCATGCAGGTGCTGGCAGAGGTGAGTGTGTGGGGGGGAGGGTTGGGGCTAGGGGTGCACTAGGGTTCTCAATCACCTTGCACTTGATTGGCTTAGCACCTGGGCTCCAGTTCCCCCCATGAACGTCTGTTCCCTCCTCGATGCTCCCTGCTCCCTGCTGCCTGCTCCATGTGTGTGTGTGCATGTGTGCGCATGTGGGGGCATGTGGCAGGTGGAGCAGCTGGTGGGCCATCAGAGGAGCACAGCCAGCAGAGCGAGGCACAGGGGAGCAGGGGGCGTGCGCACGCAGCAGGAGGGTGGTGGTGGTGGAGAGGACGAGGAGGAGGGGGAGGAGGACGAGCAGAGTGAGGAAGAGGAGGAGGAGGACGATGAGGAGGAGGAGGAAGAGAGTGAAGGAAGAAGTTTTTCAACGGATGGAGGAACGGCAGTGGGTGCAGATGGGAGGGGAGCAGCGCAGGGAGCCACTGCAGCTGCAGCTGCGGTGCTGGCATCAGCATCGGCCTCGGGAGCGCAGCGCCATGGGTCGCGTGACATGTACACCGGCATGATCCAGCGCGATTTGCTCCTCGTAATCCCTCCCTCTCACCCTGCGCCCTGCTCGCTCCGTGCATTCCCCTGCTGCCCTCCCAACATGCATTCCTTTCTTCAATCCTCTCCAAACCGTGTCTCTGCATCCGTCCCGCCCATCCCCCTGCCTGTCCCTGCAGGCTCACCTGCTGCGCATGGTCACGAGCCACAACGGCCCTCTGCCCCACGCCCTGCCTGCCCTCGCCTCTCAGCTGCACGCTCTTGAGGTAACCACGTGCCTTGTGGTAACCACATGCTGTGCTAACCACGTGCCGTGTGGTAACCACGTACCTTGTCGTAACCACGTGCCTTAAGGTAACCACGTGCCTTGTGGTAACCACATGCCTTGTGGTAACCACGTGTCTTGTGGTAACCCACATGCCTTGTGGTAACGAGATGGCTTGTGGTAAGCACCTATCATGAGGTAACATTATGCTTTGAGGTAACCGCATGCAATAATCGCTGCAGGATTAGTTATTGCAATGGAAACAGTGAGAGATGATGCAGCTATCTAACGTGTGCGTGCGTGCGTGCGTGTCTGTGTGTGTGTGCATGTGTGTGCTTGCATCAACGTGGGCAGGTGATACCGCAGTGGGTGGCGGATCTGCTGCACCACGACCCGCGCCTTGTCGACCGTGCCTTCCACCGCGTATTCAGCAAGCCTGCCCGCCGCCTCACCGCGCACGCCCATGCTGACCCATCCGTGAGCCGCCATGCCCATGCTGACCCATCCGTGAGCCGCCATGCCCATGCTGACCCATCCGTGAGCCGCCATGCCCATGCTGACCCATCCGTGAGCCGCCATGCCCATGCTGACCCATCCGTGAGCCGCCATGCCCATGTTGACCCATCCGTGAGCCGCCATGCCCATGCTGACCCATCCGTGAGCCGCCATGCCCATGCTGACCCATCCGTAAGCCGCCATGCCCATGCTGACCCATCCGTGAGCCGCCATGCCCATGCTGACCCATCCGTAAGCCGCCATGCCCATGCTGACCCATCCGTGAGCCGCCATGCCCATGCAGACCCATCCGTGAGCCGCCATGCCCATGCAGACCCATCCGTGAGCCGCCATGCCCATGCTGACCCATCCGTGAGCCGCCATGCTATGCCATGTCATGTGCGTCCCCCATCCCTGCCTTCTCTCGCACTCCCTCCGCCTGACCTGTCTGTGCATGCGTGCATGCACCGGACCAGCTGTGCTGTGTGTGCGCTCTTGCATGGCTCCTGCGTTGCGTGTGTGTGCCTCTGCTGTCATGGCATGGCATCTAACGGGGCATGCAAGGGGTGCGGCTGCGGTGCTGTTCTGTCACGCCACACTCACACTCACAGGTGCAGCGGGCGCTGCAGCGGTTCTGGTCGGCCAGTGCGGAGGGCGAGGGCAGTGCTGCAGATGCAGCAGCGCAGGCGTCAGGGTCGCGCTACCTCTCAGACTTTGAGGAGGTCGCTATGCTGGGTGGGTGAGGCCATGCCATGCTAAGTGACGCGATGCCATGCCTTGCTTGCTCTGTATGCCGCCTTCCCTGGTGACTCTCACTGCCTCCCACTTGTTCCCTGCCATGAAACCCTTGTGGCCGTGCTGGGCTGCCCCTGTGTGTGGGTGGAGCAGGCAAGGGTGGGTTCGGGTCGGTGGTGCTGTGTGTGAACAAGCTGGATGGGCGCAAGTATGCCATCAAGAGGATTCCCCTCAGGGGCAAAAGCCCTGCTCTCAACTCCAAGATCCTCAGGTGCCCTGCCCCTCCCACCCTCCTACGCTTTCACCCTCTCACCCTCTTCCCCTACACACTCTCAACCTCTCACCCCCTTACCCTCTCACCCTCTTGCCCTCTCAACCGCCCACACTCTCACCCTCTCACCTTCTTACCCTCTCACCTCTGACCCTCTTGCATGTGCGGCGGGGCCATGGCAGGGAGGTGGCAACACTGTCGCGGCTGCAGCACCAGCACGTGGTGCGCTACTACCAGGCCTGGTTCGAGACCGGGGCCGGCCGCTCCACACGCCACCTGCCCGTTCACTCCCACATGGAGGGCACAGAGGGCACGGAGGGCAGCGCGAGTCCCACTGCGAGCCCCACTGCCAGCACGTCGCTGGCGTCGGCATCGGAGTGGCTCACACGTGATGCAGACCTCACCCACTCTCACAGCGTGCCGGGGGGGAGGGACGGCAGGAAAGGGGGTGAGGGGGAAACGACATACCTGTACATTCAGATGGAGTACTGCCCCAGGTGCGTTCAGATGGAGTACTGCCCCAGGTGCGTTCAGATGGAGTACTGCCCCAGGTGCGTTCAGATGGAGTACTGCCCCAGGTGCGTTCAGATGGAGTTTGGATGGCCACTCAAAGTGATGCATTGATCAGTTTGGTTGGCGCATATGTAGGGAGCGTACCAGGCAGAGTTGAAACGCTCATATCTTGCAAAATATATGGAATGAAATGAAAATACATGGCAAGTAAATAGGCAAAAGTTTAATCAAGTGAACTAACATAAAACAAATGGCATTCAATCCGTATGTATAATCAAAGTGATGCATTGATCAGTTTGTTCGGTATGCGTATGTGTAGGAGGCGTACCAGACAGAGTTCAAACGCTCTTATCCTGCAAAATATATGGAATGAAATGTAATTACATGACAAATTGACTTGCGTGTTCTTGGCCTGAGCCCTCTTCTCCTTTCGCATGTCTGCTCTTGTCCCGACCTCTCCGCGCCTGTACCCGCCAGGACGTTGCGGCAGGTGTTGGAGGCGCGGGGGGGGGACGAGGTGGATGGCGCGTGGGCGTGGCGGGTGGTGCGGCAGGTGGTGGAGGGGCTGCTGCACGTGCACTCGCAGGGCATCATCCACCGCGACCTCACTCCCAACAACCTCTTTGTTGACCCGCGCGGGGACATCAAGATCGGCGACTTCGGCCTCGGTCGGTCAGACCACACCACACGCCTGCACGCTCACCTGCGTCCCCTGCATGTTGCGTCATCTGCATGTTTAGTCAGTTTATTAGTTAGTTTTCGTTCTTTCTTCTTTTGTTCTTGCTCTCGTCCGTTTCTTTTCCGTGATCCTGCTTGTGTGTCTTTTACTCGTCTGTCCTCCCCCCACCTCCCTACCCTGCACGGCAGCCAAGTTCTCGGAGCTGGGGGAGGGGGTCGATGCTACAGATGCTGGCGAAGAGGCAGAAAAGGAGGGGAGTCCTGAAGGGGGTGCAGAAAGGGGGGGGAGGGCGGGGGTGGGCATGGGGGAGAGGCGGCAGTCGGCAACGGGGCAGGTGGGGACGTACTTTTACACGGCGCCAGAGGTGGAGCAGGGGTGGGCGCACGTGGATGACAAGGTCCGTTCTTGCAGCATCCGCACCCCTCTCACCTCACCCCGCACGCCCTGTCATCTCTTACCTCTCTCCTGTACGCTTGTCAATGCCGCCACCCATGCCCTGAGCATCCATACGCCGTGGCATGCGACTGACATCTCCGTGTGACCCGGGTGGGGTGCGCAGGTGGACATGTGGAGTGTGGGCGTGGTGCTGCTGGAGTGTTGGCACCCCTTCCACACGGCCATGGAGCGTGCTCACACGCTGTCAGCCCTCAAGCTGCACCGCACCATTCCACACGACTGGGCATCCAAGCACCCCCAGGTGCGCCCTGCCACACCCATGGTCACTCCAATGCCCGCCTGTGTGCGCCTGTGTGTTTCTGTGTGTACCCAAGTGCCTGTATGTGCCTGTGTCTGTGTGTATGTGTGTGTGTGTGTGTGTGCGCGCGCGCGCATGCATGCACGCCCCCATGTGTGCATGCATAACCGCAGGTGGCAGAGCTGGTGCGGCTGCTGCTGAGCCCGTTACCCAGTGACCGCCCGTCAGCAGCGGAGGTGCTGCGATGCGACCTCATGCCGCCGCGCATGGAGGATGAGGCACTCAACGGTGGGTGCTCGCCCGCCAAAGGGGGGTGGGGGTGGGGGTCACTCTCACTGCGCTGCGATCCTCTTATCTTCCCATGCTGCACCCTTCCCTGCCTGCACACAACCTTCCCTGCATGTGCTTCCCTGCATGTGCTTCCCTGCATGTGCTTCCCTGCATGTGCTTCCCTGCATGTGCTTCCCTGCATGTGCTTCCCTGCATGTGCTTCCCTGCATGTGCTTCCCTGCATGTGCTTCCCTGCTGGTTTATCCTGTGTTCACTCCCATAGCCCTCGCCCCTCTCTCACTCGTGTGTGCCGCTGCAGGCATCCTGCGTGCCATCCAGTCTCCGGGAGACGACTTTTCCTCCTCTTCCTCCTCCTCCGCCGTGTATGACCGCGTGCTCGCCGCCATCTTCGCCCGCCTCCCCGCCACCCCTCCCTCCTCCGCGCCCACCCCACCACCTGTGCGCGCGCTGCCGGGCGGGGGCGGGGGGGAGGAGGAGGAGTGGGAGCGGGGGGCGGTGCAGTGGACGGGGGGGAGAGAGGCGTTCATGGCGGGCGTGGAGCGCATCTTCCAGAAGCATGGCGCCCTGCGATCGGATACTCGCATCGTTGACTTCGCGTATCCCGACCGCCGCACCCACGAGTACGTCAACCCTCTATGGTATGTTGCGCCTAACCCCCCTCAATGTTATGTGTGGGCTGACCTTCTCGTTCTGCTCTGTCATGGTCTGCCCGTGCGTTTTCTCTCATCTCTCTTCCGCTCTTCCTTCCTGTCCCTGCGGCCCTCCAGGCTGGCAGTGCGAGTGGTGGACGCACAGGGCTCGCTGCTCTCTCTGCGCTACGACACCCGACTCACCTTCGCCCGCTGGGTCGCCGCCACACAGGTGATGCGATGCACGTGATGCCATGCACGTGATGCCATGCACGCGATGCCATGCACGTGATGCCATGCACGAGATGCCATGCACGTGATGCCATGCACGTGATGCCATGCACGCGATGCCATGCACGTGATGCCATGCACGCGATGCCATGCACGGGATGCCATGCACGCGATGCCATGCACGCGATGCCATGCACGTGATGCCATGCACGTGATGCCATGCACGTGATGCCATGCACGAGATGCCATGCACGCGATGCCATGCACGTGATGCCATGCACGTGATGCCATGCACGTGATGCCATGCACGTGATGCCATGCACGTGATGCCATGCACGTGATGCCATGCACGTGATGCCATGCACGTGATGCCATGCACGTGATGCCATGCACGCGATGCCGCACGAGTGTTCTGGTCCTCTCATGCTGGGCGTTGCTGGGCTCATCTCACTCTCTCACCCCGCTGCTCCTTCGCACACCGCGTGTGCCCCATCTCTCCCCATCCCCTCCCCTCCCAGACCTCGTCTCTGAAGCGCTTCCAGTTCTCCTCTGTCTTCCGCCGCGCTCCCGGTCGCCGCCCCCCTCACGACTACCTGCAGGTGGGCCGTCTGACCCGTTGACACGCAGGGAGTGGGGGAAAGGGGGGAAACTGGGATGGTGGCAAGAGGTCCAGGGCGTAAGGGCATGGGATACAAGTATAAGTAACGAGTGTTGCTCGCGCCGTGTTCGGCAATCTTGGTTAGTGTACAGCATTCTCTGGTGAGTGCTGAACAGGATTTGATTATAGGCGTGCTAACTAGCTCCTTGGGGCCTCATAGGAGTGCTGCGCATGGCAGGGTAGGGTACACCTTGAGTTGAGCTTTGCCCAGAAATGGCCTAACCAACTGCTTATCTCTTCTTCTCTTGCTGCCACCCCCTGTCCCCCACCATGCCCCTGGCCGTTTTGAATTTGCTCCGTGCCATGCGATGTGGTGCGGGCATGTGCATTGCGGTGGAGGTGGGTGGCAGGCAGACTTTGACATTGTGGGAGGGACGCCTGTTCTGGCGGATGCTGAAGCCATCAAGGTGCGTTCTCAGGCAGCGCTATGGTCTTCCATGTACCTCACGTCACGAATGCGTCCCACCCACCCCCCTCCACACACAAGTGCCCACTTGCACACTAACAAGATTCACGCGCCCCAGTGCTGCAACAGAACAGCTCCAGCTTACCCTTTTCCCCGCCTTGCCTCTCTACCTGCTGCCTCGTGCCGTGCTGCATGCAGGTGGCCGTGGAGGTGGTGGAGGGGAGTGGGGCGGCATGGGGGGCGGTGGAGGTGCGGCTGAACCACCGCGATCTGCTGTCAGCCATCTGGCAGTGGGCGGGGGTCACACGCCCACAGGTCGCCAGTGTCGCCCAGGTCACTCCCCTCCCTCCTGCCGCCTGCTCCCCTCCCCTTCAATGATCTTCATCACCCACACCACCCACCATCTTCAGCCATCTTCCATGCCATGCAGGTGCGACTTTTGAGAATTCTCAAAAGTCGCGACCGCGAGTCGCCAGTGTCGCCCAGGTCACTCCTCTTCCCCCTGCCGCCTGCTCCCCTCCCCTTCAACCATCTCCACCACTCACCCACCATCTTCAACCATCTTCCATGCCTCACAGCACTAGGCCACCCTGCACTCCTCTCACCCTTCCACCCGCGTTCATGCCTCCCTGCCACGCCCCTCCTCCCCCCCTGCACCCACCCCCCTGCACGCGCGCAGTTGCTGGCGCTGCTGGGCGGCTCCCCCCCCACAGCCCCCTCCCGCAAGGCCGCCTGGCCTCTTGTTCGCCGCCAGCTGCTGCAGGTGCGTGCGTGCTGCTGCATGCTGTGAGAAGGTGCGTGTCAGTCCGTCCTTCCATGATCCATCGTCCATTTGCCTGTCTGTCCATCAGTGTGTCTTTGTGTGTTTGAGCGTTTCTGCGTGTGTGCCTATGTGTCTCTTTCTGTGCGCCTGCTTGTGTGGGTGAGTGGGTGGGGTGCGGTGGCAGGGAGTGGGGCTGAGTGAGGCAGTGGTGGATCGCCTGCAGGCGGTGGAGAAGCGCTTCAGTGGGCCGGCAGACGATGCCATGGCCCGCCTCACAGGGGCGCTGCCTCCAGGTATGCTCTGTTCCTGTGCGCCTGCCACCAGGTAATGGTAATGGTAATGGTAATGGTAATGGTAATGGTATGGTAATGGTAATGGTAATGGTAATGGTATGGTAATGGTAATGGTAATGGTAATGGTATGGTAATGGTAATGGCAATGGCAGGTATGCGCTCACAGGGGCGCTGCCACCAGGTATGCTCTGTTCCATGTGGGCCTCAATGCGAAAAGAAACATTTACTTCAATGAGTTCCGCCCATCCAACTTAGTTCTCCCACTCATGTCTTTCCATTTTCCCTTCCATCTCCCCTCTCTCCCCTGTTGCCCTTGCTCCCATGTCTTACCCTCCCCCCCTTCCCTCGCCAGGCCCACTGGTGGCGGCAGCGCTGGGCGAGCTGGGGGAGCTTCTGGCGCTGCTGCGAGTGTGGGGCATCCACCCCGCGTGCACCACCATCGACGCGCTCATGGCGCCCTCCCACCACTACTTCTCCAAATGCTTCTTCCAGGTCCACCTCCCAACGCCCCCACCCCCTTACCATTTCCCTTAAGCGCCCTCTTTGTTTTTGCTGCACCTGTTTCCTGCTTCCAGATCCTATTTCCAGCCTTGTTCACCCTCCCTCCTGCGTCATTTGTTCTCCTGCGTGCGCGGCACCTCAGGTCCACGCAAGGCACCTGGCGTCTCAACCTCCCCATCACCAGCACCACCACCATCATCACCAGCAGCAGCACCCCCTAATCCCTATCAGCACGCAGCGCACCACCGTGCCTGCTTCTGATGCTTCCTTGCCTGCCGCTCGCTCGCTCTCCGCCTCGCCCCCATCCCCCCTGGCCGCCCCCTGGTCGTCCTCGCCGCCCCTCTGGGTGGCCGTGGGCGGCCGCTACGATGCCCTGCTGCTCCACCTCTCTTCCTCCTCCTCCGCCGCCGCCGCCGCTGCTGCCGCTGGGAGAGGAGCGGTGGGTTGTTCAGACGGGGATGCATGTTAGGGGCAGGAAGTCGAAGTGGGGGGCATGGTCTGGCAGTGCCGGGGACTTGTGACCTCCTTGCTTGCAGGGGTGGGCGTGTGGTGTGGTGTGGGGTGAGAGACATGGGTAGCTCCACTGCACCACCCCATTTTCCCCTATTCTTCTTTCGTCATTCGCTGTTTGCATGTTGTTCCTCTCTCCTTGTGCTCTCCTGTTTGTCTGCTGCTCCCTGCTGTAACCCTCCAGTGTTATTGTCTGCCTCTTGGTCTCTTGTCTGCGTGTCTGCATCTCTCGTGTATGCGCATGTCTGTGTCTGTGTCTCCTCCCTGTCATTGCGTCAGCGTGGCCTGGCCCTCTCCTTGATACTTTGTGCCGTGTGCTCCACTCCACTCCACACCTCCTCTGCTGCGCAGGGCTCTCGGCAAAGAGGGGCAGGAGGCAGTGGGGGGGGGAGTGGGGCGGTGGGTGCGGTGGGGTTCAGTGTAGCGTTACACAAGCTCATGGCGCCGTCACACCCAACCACTCACCACACTTCCAGGTGCCTGCCCGCTCACACGCGTCTCTCTCCCACCTCCATCACCTACTTCTTTCAACCCCTCTCACTTTCTTGGCTCACCCTTTGCTTCATCACTTTCCTTCCCTCATCCTCTCCTGCACCACTCTCCCCTCACCCCTCCACCCCCTCCCCCCCCCCCCCCCCCCCTGTGCCTGTGTGTGGGGGAGCAGGCAGGCAGCGGTAGATGTGCTCGTGTGCGCCAGGGGAGGGGCGGGGCTGCTTAGCAAGAGGATGGAAGTTTCTGCGCAGCTGTGGGCGGCAGGAATCAAGGTAGCTGTGGGCGCAGGATTAGTAGCTTTGAACGGCGGGGATTAAAACAAGCTCTTGGTGGCAGCAAAAGGTTCCTGGTGGGCAGTGGAAGATTTCATACACTACACTGTTTAGTGAGGGATGATATGCTGATTGTGACATTGTGGAATCCTCTCCCCACTGCCCGATGTGCGGTGTATGTGCGGCAGGCGGAGTATGTGTGTGTGCGGGCGCCGAGCCTGACGGAGCAGTATGAGCACGCGCACGAGCACGGCATCAAGTGGCTCGTGCTGCTCACCGATGCCGGCCTGCACACCCACTCTGCCAAGGTGCGTCTCGCTCTCGCATGAGAGGTTGGTAAGGTGAAGAGGTGAGAGGGGGGTGGGAAGCAAGAGTGCGCCCTGTGTTTTGAGTGTGAGAGAGCGGAACATGAGTGGAGAGGAACAGAGGAAAGGGAAGACATAGGAGGGAAGGGAGGAGGGGTGAAAGATGGAGAGAGGAGTCAATCTGTGCCTCTGGTCTCTCTGTGGACATCCGTGCTTGTATCAGGTACGGCATCTAGATCTGAAGACAGAGGAGGAAGTGAGCCTTGATGATTTGGTCAAGTTCTTCCTCGAGGCCTTGCCGTCTCTTACCACTTCTTGCCGCCGCGGGGCCACAGCACCATCTGGTTTTGGCGCTGCTTGACTTCTGGCTCACCATAGTTTGAGCAAGTAGAGCATAACTACACCATTGCCATATACGGCTCGTCTTTTGTATGTCAAAGGTGCTAAAAATAATAGTGAGAATGCTTTCTTCTTGTATGATAATGTATTGCTTCCAAATTGTTTTGTAGCCTCGTTACATATCGCACATGTATACATGAAGGCGCGTGCAAGGACTGCCCCCCTAAAGGCCTGGTCCGCTAACTTCCTGGTCCACAAACTACCTGGTCCGGCGGAAGAAAACGCTCGGAACAAGCGCTTCCATCCAGCCTCAAAACGCGCAAGGATCCGCGCATGTGGAGGAAGTGCAGCGGGCGCTTTTCAATCGCGAGCACCGATGACCAATGATGCTCGCAACCCTCCCACGCCCTTGCTGGCTTGGCAATAGGCCCAGACAAGCGCAGCCGCGTGACCCGGTGGAAGAAAAACGCTCGGAACGAGCGCTTCCAGCCGGGGCCCAAAATTGGTTTAGGCCTACCCTTGCGAATCAGGGTACCAGCCCCTCCTTAGGCAGACCCCTAGGGTAAAAAAATTTATACCCTGTTTCCAGTAGGGTAACTCTACCACTAGCCTGATTCTAGCAGGGTAGTTTTAGGCTAAGCCTGTTTTACTGTCTATTTTGAGAGTGATCTTATTTTTGGTGACATATTCAAGTAGCACATATAGAGTCCATGAAATCCACACACACAACACATGCATGCACAACACACCTACTCAGTGCCACCCCCACTGCCTACAGCTTCTTCTACAAACTGGGTCTGTGAAGCCCTGGTGGGGTCAAACTCCTTGGTGGATCGCCTCAGCTTCTCTCCACGAAAGATGGCGACCACCTCAAACCAGTCGACCTCGTACCGCAGCAGGGAGCAACGCATCAGATGCTCCAGGCTTGTGTCGCCAAGGCTGCCGCGTCCCCAAGTCTTGATCAGATTCTGCTTGGAGAAGCCGCGCTCGCATTCAACCGTGCTCAATGGCAGCACGACGACTGACTGCCACATCCGCATGATGTTGGGGAAGGAGACGCGCCACGCATCATCCCGCAGCATGTTCGTCAGCGCCTGTTGGAACTCCTCGTTGTTGTGCTGGGAGAACATTGTGGATGTAAACATCCACAGCTCCTGCAGGGCTCTCTTGTAGTCAAACCCTGTGGAGGGGCGGGGTTGGGGTGAAAGCTTGGCCGATGCTCGCACACACGGGTAGGAATGGGGGGTATTAGTCCAACAAGCATCGGACAGGTTTAGGTGCTCGGACAAGCAAGCCACGTCTGAAGATTTGCTCTTGACAAGCAATAGGTTTACCTGGCAACTTGTTGTGGTACAACTTGTGCAGCTGGCCGAGCCACTTTTTGAACGTTTCCACTCGCTTCGTTTCGTCGGGCACGTACGAAGCTGTGCGAAACAGCTTCGTACCTTCCAGCAGCTGCAGATCGCGCATCCGCCACTCCAGTTCTTTGTCAATGGCGCGGGCGTACTTGATCGACAGCTCGACGCACGCCTGGACATCGCCATCCGTTTCATGTCCTGGCTGCGGGCGCTCGTGCAGTGTGAATTCAAACGTGACGGGATTCCCGTCCCCGTCTATGCCCTCCGCCTTCATCTCGCGCTTATCCTTCGCCTGGTGCTTGTGAATGAACTGGGGAAGCTGCATTTTCTCCCCGCTGCCGAAATCGTGTGAAGGGTCGCGGAGGGAATACCGCGTCTTCAGACGCATCCTTGTCTGCTGGACGATGTGCGCAACAAGGGTAACGTCCACCTGCACAAGGGCATGACAAGGAGTTAGGTGGTGCACGAAAAGGCTTGCAACAACATAAAAGACAGCGACAAAGGCGCTTACCTGCCGCTGCTGGAAGCGCTGGTTGAGGCAGTTAAGTTCCCACAGCACATCCGCAAGAAAGCGGATGAGCCAGTGGAACTTGAACGAGGTAACCACCTCGTACAGGTCCGCCTTGTAATCCTTCAGCACCACTATGGCCACAGGGAGCACGTCGAGCAGGCGCTGGATCGCTTCACCATGGGCGAGCCAGCGGGTATCGCTAATCCCCTGCGCCTCTAGATTTGTCTGACAGAAGATCCGCTGCATCTCTTGAAAATTCTGGTAGTCAACGCTGCTGCGGCCGATGTGGTCAGCGAAGGCGCGCACGACGTCGTCAATCATTAGCAGCTCAGGTACCTCTTCAGCAGCATCACTAGCAGCGAGTGCCTCCCTGGACATAAGGGCACACGGACAGAGGGTAAGTATATAGCAAGTCAAGTTGTGAAGGCAGCACGGAGCACACAATGGTGACGCTTACCGGTGAGCGATACAGTGGGTTGAGGCCAGATGCGGAATGCGCAGTCGCAGCCGTGTCACGACTCCGCAGTTCTTGCCGACCATCACGGTGGCACCATCAGAGGCGACGCTGGAGATCTTCTGGAGGTCGACGCCGATACCTGTGAGATACTGCACGACAGCCGATGACAGTGAGGCACCGTCACAACGGTCAACAGTAATGAGAGTTAAGAACTCGGTAACAACCGTGGTGCGCTGGAAGAACGTGGCGTAAAGAATGAGGTGCTTCCCATGCACCCGGTCCGTGCTCTCGTCGAGGGAAATCCCTATCCACGGGGATTCAAGCAGGTGCAGACGTTGTGTTTCCTGAAGGTATGTTGAGAGTGCGCGCAGATTCTCCTTGAATCCGTAACTGCCAGGGGGAAACACAGGTCGTTAAAGGTCAGGAGTGCAGAATACATAGTACAACAATTTCACCAACGCTAGCCACCACTTACTCTGTGTAGTACGCGCCGTAGCCACCAGCGGGAGGAAGGTCTGGTAACCCCTCCTTCGCTAGAAACCAGCACAGCGGGACGAACATCGCTATGGGTGCGTCCGCCTTGCAGACGAAGAGCGCGGTGTGGAGAAGCCGAATGATGTGACGGGTGGAGGCGTCCGTGGTCTGCCACCTAGTGAGTGTGGCCTGCTTCGCCTACCCCGCCTCTGCCTTCTCCTGATTCTCCACCGCGTTCTTGTGTGCACGGGTCGCGGAGTGAGTACGGATGCTGCCGATCTGGAGATCCCGCGCACCCTCACCCTTGGGCCCGTACGCGGTATGCGCTAAGGGATCTCCGTGCTTCACACAAATAGCACACTTCAAAGACGGACGACCGTTAGACATGCGGAGCAAACGCAACCATTTGAAAGCACCTTGCCACTGACCCTCAAACGTCTTCTTCACCGACTCGTACTCAGCATCCGCCAGAGCGGTGGGAGGCTTCGGATCGGCCGAAGGAGCAGGTCGCTTGTTTGAAGTAGAGTCGCGGGGAGGAGGGGCGCCCCACAGCGTCTGCTGCTTGTACGTAGTTCCCGGGCGCGGTCGCTTTACGGGCGCGGTGCTGACAGTCGAAGGCGAAGCGGTAGGAGGCTTTGACGAGCCTTCGCCACCTCCGCGAACTAACTCTATGTCGGGATGTGGCTCCCACGCCGTGGGTGAGTCTGGCAGCTCGAACGGATAGACCGTTCCTACCACACATTCTGGTGACGGCTCACGAGTAGGCAGCTGTGCGATGGGTACGGCGTAGTTCTCGCTAAGGCGTGGTAAAACGCCCAGCACGGAGAGGCCGTTTCTCGCGCCATCAGATGGAGCGGGCTCTCCAGTGGGCATTGTGGAGTTGAACCGTGAGAATGGTTGAGAATGAGGGCCAAGCGAGAGACCCCCTCGTAGAGAAGGCGCATCTGGCAGCCTCGACATGGCCGTTTGTTCCACAGGGCGGGCTCTGTTATGGCCAGCAAGGCAGCACTGAAGCTGCAAATTGTTGTTAAGGACAGCTTGAAGCTGTCCTTGACAGCCAATTCTGCTGTGATGGCGGTGGGCGTGGCGATAAGTGACGAGGTTCAATCATTGTTGGCAGACCTGCGGCAGAAACAACCAATGAGGATTCTTGGCGTGCTGCCAAGTACGCAGCAAGTTTCCGTGCGCGTGGGCACGAGCGACAACGGGTGTTTGTGGGGGTGTTGTACGTTTTGTCACCACGCGGACTATAGTCAGATTCGCGTTAGAAAAGATTCAGTAACAGGGTAGTGTACACCCAACCCTGATTCCGTTAGGGTAAGCTAAAAACCTATCAGGGTAAAAAAAAACATGCACTTTTAAGAGAAGGGTAACTATAGCGCAATCCTGATTTCACCAGGGTAATCCTGAAAAAGCTGCCCGCCCCCAGGGTAATCAGGGTGTTTTACCCTGATATTTTGGGCCCTGCTTCCAGCCTCAAAACGCGCAAGGATCCGCGCATGTGGACGAAGTGCAGCGGGCGCTCTTCATTCGCGAGCGCCGATGACCAATGATGCTCGCAACCCTCCCACGCCCTTGTTGGCTTGGCAATAGGCCCAGACAAGCGCAGCCACGTGACCTGGTGGAAGAAAAACGCTCGGAACGAGCGCTTCCAGCCTCAAAACGCGCAAGGATCCGCGCATGTGGAGGAAGTGCAGCGGGCGCTCTTCATTCGCGAGCGCCGATGACCAATGATGCTCACAACCCTCCCACACCCTTGCTGGCTTGGTAATAGGCCCAGACAAGCGCAGCCACGTGCCCCGGCGGAAGAAAAACTCTCAGAACGAGCGCTTCCAGCCCCAAAACGCGGAAGGATCCGCACATGTGCAGGAAGTGCAGCGGACGCTCTTCATTCGCGAGCGCCGATGACCGATGATGCTCGCAACCCTCCCATGCCCTTGCTGGCTTGTCAATAGGCCTAGACAAGCGCAGCCACGTGACCCGGCGGAAGAAAAACGCTCGAAACGAGCGCTTCCAGACCCAAAACACGGACGGATCCGCAAATGTGCAGGAAGTGTAGCGGGCGCTCTTCATTCGCGAGCGCCGATGGCCGATGATGCTCGCAAGCCTCCCAAGCCCTTGCTGGCTTGGCAATAGGCTCACACAAGCGCAGCCACATGACTCGGCGGAAGAAAAACGCTAGAAACAAGCGCTTCCAGCCCCAAAACGCGGACGGATCCGCACATGTGGAGGAAGTGCAGTGGGCGCTCTTCATTTGCGAGCGCCGATGACCGATGATGCTCGCAACCCTCCTACGCCCTTGCTGGCTTGGAAATAGGCCAGACAAGCGCAACCACGTGACCCGGCAGAAGAAAAACGCTCGGAACGAGCGCTTCCAGCCCTAAAACGCGGGAGGATCCGCACATGTGCAGAAAGTGCAACGGGCGCTCTTCATTCGCGAGCGCCGATGACCGATGATGCTCGCAACCCTCCCACACCCTTGCTGGCTTGGCAATAGGCCCAGACAAGCGCAGCCACGTGACCCGGTGGAAGAAAAACCCTCGGAACGAGCGCTTCCAGCCTCAAAACGCGCAAGGATTTGCGCATGTGGAGGAAGTGCATCGGGCGCTCTTCATGCGCCGATGACCAATGATGCTCGCAACCCTCCCACGCCCTTGCTGGCTTTGCAATAGGCACAGACAAGCGCAGCCACGTGACCCGGTGGAAGAAAAACGCTCGGAACGAGCGCTTGTAGCCTCAAAACGCGCAACGATCCGCGCATGTGGAGGAAGTGCAGCGGGCGCTCTTCATTCGCGAGCGCCGATGACCAATGATGCTCGCAACCCTCCCACGCCCTTGCTGGCTTGGCAATAGGCCCAGACAAGCGCAGCCGCGTGACTCGGTGGAAGAAAAACGCTCGGAACGAGCGCTTCCAGCCTCAAAACGCGCAAGGATCTGCACACGTGGAGGAAGTGCAGCGGGCGCTCTTCATTCGCGAGCGCCGATGACCAATGATGCTCGCAACCCTCCCACGCCCTTGATGGCTTGGCAATAGGCCCAGACAAGTGTAGCTGCGTGACCCGGTGGAAGAAACGCTCGGAACGAGCGCTTCCAGCCTCAAAACGCGCAAGGATCTGCACATGTGGAGGAAGTGCAACGGGCGCTCTTAATTTGCGAGCGCCGATGACCAATGATGCTCGCAACCCTCCCACGCCCTAGCTGGCTTGGTAATAGGCCCAGACAAGCGCAGCCGCGTGACTCGGTGGAAGAAAAACGCTCGGAACGAGCGCTTCCAGCCTCAAAATGCGCAAGGATCTGCCCACGTGGAGGAAGTGCAGCGGACGCTCTTCATTCGCGAGCGCCGATGACCAATAATGCTCGCAACCCTCCCACGCCCTTGCTGGCTTGACAATAGGCTCAGGCAAGCGCAGCCGCGTGCCCCGGTAGAAGAAAAACGCTCGGAACGAGCGCTTCCAGCCTCAAAACGCGACAGGATCCGCGCATGTGGAGGAATTGCAGCGGACGCTCTTCATTCGCGAGCGCCGATGACGAATGATGCTCGCAACCCTCCCACGCCCTTGCTGGCTTGGCAATAGGCCCTGACAAGCGCAGCCGCGTGACCCGGTGGAAGAAAAACGCTCGGAACGAGCGCTTCCAACCTCAAAACGCGCAAGGATCCGCGCATGTGGAGGAAGTGCAGCGGGCGCTCTTCATTCGCGAGCGCCGATGACCAATGATGCTCACAACCCTCCCACGCCCTTGCTGGCTTTGCAATAGGCCCAAACAAGCGCAGCCACATGATCCGGTGGAAGAAAAACGCTCGGAACGAGCGCTTGTAGCCTCATAACGCGCAAGGATCCGCGCATGCGCAGGAAATGCAGCGGGCGCTCTTCATTCGCGAGCGCCGATGACCAATGATGCTCGCAACCCCCCCACGCCCTTGCTGGCTTAGCAATAGGCCCAGACAAGCGCAGCCACGTGACCCGGTGGAAGAAAAACGCTCGGAACGAGCGCTTGTAGCCTCAAAACGCGCAAGGATCTTTGCATGTGGAGGAAGTGCAGCGGGCGCTCTTCATTCGCGAGCCCCGATGACCAATGATGCTCGCAACCCTCCCACGCCCTTGCTAGCTTGGCAAAAGGCCCAGACAAGCGCAACCACTTGACCCAGTGGAAGGAAAACGCTCGGAACGAGCGCTTCTAGCCTTAAAACGCGCAAGGATCCGCACATGTGTAGGAAATGCAGCGGGCGCTCTTCATTCGCGAGCGCCGATGACCAATGATGCTCGCAACCCTCCCACGCCCTTGCTGGCTTGCCAATAGGCCCAGACAAGCGCAGCCGCGTGATCCGGTGGAAGAAAAACGCTCGGAACGAGCGCTTCCAGCCTCAAAACGCGCAAGGATCTGCACATGTGGAGGAAGTGCAGCGGGTGCTCTTAATTCGCGAGCGCCGATGGCCAATGATGCTCGCAACCCTCCCACGCCCTTGCTGGCTTGGCAAAAGGCCCAGACAAGCGCAGCCGCGTGACTCGGTGGAAGAAAAACGCTCGGAACGAGCGCTTCCAGCCTCAAAATGCGCAAGGATCTGCACACGTGGAGAAAGTGCAGTGGGCGCTCTTCATTCGCGAGCGCCGATGACCAATGATGCTCGCAACCCTCCCACGCCCTTGCTGGCTATGCAATAGGCCCAGACAAGTGTAGCCGCGAGACCCGGTGGAAGAAACGCTCGGAACGAGCGCTTCCAGCCTCAAAACGCGCAAGGATCTGCACATGTGGAGGAAGTGCAACGGGCGCTCTTAATTCGCGAGCGCCGATGACCAATGATGCTCGCAACCCTCCCACGCCCTAGCTGGCTTGGTAATAGGCCCAGACAAGCGCAGCCGCGTGACCCGGTGGAAGAAAAACGCTCGGAACGAGCGCTTCCAGCCTCAAAACGCGCAAGGATCTGCACACGTGGAGGAAGTGCAGCGGGCGCTCTTCATTCGCGAGCGCCGATGACCAATGATGCTCACAACCCTCCCACGCCCTTGCTGGCTTGGCAATAGGCTCAGGCAAGCGCAGCCGCGTGACCCGGTGGAAGAAATCCGCTCGGAACGAGCGCTTCCAGCCTCAAAACGCGACAGGATCCGCGCATCTGGAGGAAGTGCAGCGGGCGCTCTTCATTCGCGAGCGCCGATGACCAATGATGCTCGCAACCCTCCCACGCCCTTGCTGGCTTGGCAATAGGCCCTGACAAGCGCAGCCGCGTGACTCGGTGGAAGAAAAACGCTCGGAACGAGTGCTTCCAGCCTCAAAACGCGCAAGGATCTGCACACGTGGAGGAAGTGCAGCGGGCGCTCTTCATTCGCGAGCGCCGATGACCAATGATGCTCGCAACCCTCCCACGCCCTTGATGGCATGGCAATAGGCCCAGACAAGCGTAGCTGCGTGACCCGGTGGAAGAAACGCTCGGAACGAGCGCTTCCAGCCTCAAAACGCGCAAGGATCTGCACATGTGGAGGAAGTGCAATGGCCGCTCTTAATTTGCGAGCGCCGATGACCAATGATGCTCGCAACCCTCCCACGCCCTAGCAGGCTTGGTATTAGGCCCAGACAAGCGCAGCCGCGTGAACCGGTGGAAGAAAAGCGCTCGGAACGAGCGCTTCCAGCCTCAAAACGCGCAAGGATCTGCTTACGTGGAGGAAGTGCAGCGGGCGCTCTTCATTCGCGAGCGCCGATGACCAATAATGCTCGCGACCCTCCCACGCCCTTGCTGGCTTGGCAATAGGCTCAGGCAAGCGCAGCCGCGTGCCCGGTGGAAGAAAAACGCTCGGAACGAGCGATTCCAGCCTCAAAACGCGACAGGATCCGCGCATGTGGAGGAAGTGCAGCGGACGCTCTTCATTCGCGAGCGCCGA